ATTGCATGAAGAATTCCATGAGTTTAACTTATGGTAAGAGCCTTCCTTAGGTTAACAAGTGTTTGGTTGATAGCAAATGCTTAATCAATATATTGATATTTATGGATATTCAAGAGTGTATGATATTGAAACTTTAAATATGTATAGGTCAGCCAGTTTGTCTTTGAATTCAGTTGGAAATTTTGATCATCACAAATTATATTTGACTGTATTAAAAGCAGTATTTATGGATAAACATTTAGAAGATTACACAAACACTATACTTTCACACTCTGGTTTTACAAATATGAAAAAGTTTTATTTACTTAGGATCAATCGTAATGACATAAAAGACAAGACTTACAAAATAAATATGAAAATACTCAGTCCTCAAGATTGAAAGTTTTTAAAGACTGAAAGTCTGAAAGTTTTTAAGACTGAAATCCTAAAAGGCTGAAAGTCTGAATCTCAAGATTTAATATACATATTGTGTTTTGAAGGATTGAAAGTCAGTATATGATTTGCTTGTAAAACTCTCTAAAATGAAGGAGCACATTCAGTGACATATTATAGAAAGAGTGGGAGATTTTATATCTAATTCCTTACAAATAAAGAATATCACTATGAGATCCTTATAATGAAGTATTACTGTAGCAGAAATACATTGACCTTTAACCTGAAAAGTCAATAGAGGTGTTAAGATATTCATAGACAACAATGGTATAGCAAAAATTGTGCTGATCTTTGACCTGAAAATCAAAATATATTAAGTTTGTTTAATTAACCTATCCATGAAGTTTGATGAATATTAACTAAATAATTAAATTTAGCAGATGTCCACGTCTCTTTGACCTTTTGACTAAAAACTTAATAAGGTCATTTATTTACCTTTGTTTGACTTTGATGAGTATCTTATATGTTGGATATATTAGCAAGACACAATCTAATCTGAGTAAAGAGGAAACCTGGAAAAGCTTTCATCCCTTTATATGAACAAATTAATTGATGTCATGTTGATATCTTAACCACAATATCAGAACAATCTGATGATTCTAAAATAAAGTTCTCACTATACTAGTTAGAAACCATTGCTCTACCTGTCAAACACAAAAATATGAATGTCAACTTAAAAAAGCAAGTAAGGTTCCTTTTCTTCAAAAGGTAAAATTTTGATGGATTGGGTGATTGTATGTTACTTTATGCCTATAAAGAAAAATATATGCCCTCCATTTTGACTGTATGGATTAAGAACTAATTATATAATTGAATCAAACTTATTTCTTTCATGTCATTCTTAATGTCATAGTAACCATCATTCATATTATGTACAAGTCTCAATCCTAATAGATGAATCCACATTTTGTTTTTATTTCACATCCCTTGGCAACCATATTTGAGGGAAACTCAAAATTCTCTGTCCATGTTAATTTCTTGTGTATACCTTCATCATTTGACATAACTCATTTGCTTTGATTGCCTAAATCAGAGCTATTCATACATAGAAAGAAAACAAAAAATGAATACAGTGAATTTATTGCAATAATACCTGCATGTTTGATACATAAAAAAGATATATTTTTTTTCATTCCTTTTTTGACCTTTGGATTGACCCTGAATAGAGATAAGGTTTACATTTTGGCAAGTGTAAACTATATACTGCATGACTAAACATGGTTTGTATATTTAATTATGAAATAGTTTCTTTAATGCTTAAATCAAAATATTCCAACTATCCTAGTGAGAATTATGCTCAATTACCCTCTTTAGGAAGAAGGCTCAAATAGGCTTTGCCTGCTGCCCAATTCTATTCACTTATGTATAAAAAATTTTGTATAAATTAATTAACTTTGTGAAATATTCCCAACTTCCAATGCTTCTTTATTTACATTTTAAAAAAAAAACTGACTCAAATAAAATTGTTTTCTCATTTATTTTACAAGAAATAACATGCTGACAGTGAATCTATTCATTTTTTTAAACTGGTTAAAGTAATGTTTCCAATTGTCTTAAAATGCTTAAATGCAAGTTTATTTCATAAACCAATACCTTAAATGTATAGACTGAATTTACTTATGGATTAACCCCTTTGTAGTAAAAACATTTTTTAAACCTGATTTTCTTGTTTATTCTCTCATATATTTTCTAATTTGGGTATTCGCAAATTATTGATTACATAAGCAAAAAATTAACTACAATATATGCTGAATACCCTGAAATGAAATGGTTACATATGTAAGATGTGTAACACATCATGTAAAACTTTTAAGTCTACAAGATTTTTAGCTACCCATATTATACAATAAGACTACTTTTTCAAAGTTTTGAAAAATTCTTTACAAAAATATAAATGCAAAAGATAAATGTTAGGGTACACTTTTAAAATACATTTAACATGAATCACATAAAGAACATTACAAATCATTTCTTTGAGCTTGTTTTCCTTTGGAACATCTGTGAACAAACATTCTGTTTTGTCTTTCTGATACATGTAAAGCGTCCAAAAATCATTTGGAATTGTTGTGTTAAACCCTGATATAATAATTTTAAGTTTCTGGTGTGTGCCCTACTTAGAAATGTTTACAATGTAACAAAGATGAAACTCATAATTTGATTTAATCAGCAATGATAAAGTCATCAGGTTTCAGCATGCTTTTCTGACACATCATGTACATTTTTTCTACTTGTTTGTCTTTGTTCACAAAAATTGAAATCAACAGTACTTAGCATTCCATATATTAATAAATATGAACCCTAGCTATTAGAAATTTTAAAATATATTTGTGCATCAATGCATTATGTTTAACAAATCAATCTCTTTCACTGTGATGAAAATTGTCTTCTTCATATAACATGCAGACAAAGAACTTTTTTGGATGATGTCATTTTCACATGTAGAAAAGAAATTAATTCAACTAAAGCTAAAAGACAGTCATTAAAATTTTAAGGACATTAAAGGATGATATCAAGACCGAAGTCCAGGAATTGATAAAATTATATAATTATCATCCAAAGATGTATATTATGGAAAGCCGTAGGGTACCCCCACATTATTATTATTTTTTCCTATATAATTATACCAAAAATAATTATCTCATCCCAAACTGAAAATCTTGCTTTTTACAACATTATTATTATTTTCCTGCAATAATTATAATGTTGTCTGTTAAATTGTACACATTATTTTATTTTCCCCAATTATCATTATTTACACTTTACAATAATAATCTTGCCAGTCAATGTGGACACGATATTAAAAAAAAAAAAAAAAAAAAAAAAAAAAAATTAATAATTTTTTTTTATTATTATTTTTATTTTGTACACATTTTTTTTTAATTTTACTTTAAGATCATAATTATTCTTATTTCATCATTTTATAACAATGCATGCATCCCTGTAATAACAATGTAGTGATTGAAAATAAAAAAAAAAAGAAAATTAAAACAATTATTTCCGAAATCTTCGTTATATAATCTTTGCAACAATAATAATGATGTAAACGGGACTTTGTTTTTATTTTCAACAGGAAAGATAACTTCTTTTTTAGTGACAGTAACGAAAACTCTGTCCCCTTCTCCACAATAATTATAAGATTGTGACTGCCTACATTATTTGAAGCGTGAAGATTTTATTATTTCTAGCGTGACGGACACAAACGTTTAAGTGAGAGAGATTTTCCTACATTATTTGAAGCGTGAAGATTTTATTATTTGAAGCGTGAAGTTTTTATTATTTGAAGCGTGAAGTTTTTATTATTTCAAGTGTGACGGAAATCAAGCGTCGATGCGAGAGAGATCGTCACCTGAAAAAGCCATGTGCTGTGCGATTATATACAAGAAGCCGACGACAGACAAAGCGCTGTAAGTAGCCTATTAGGCCTACGTATCATTTATGTACAAGTAAGTGTCATGCATTCATTTAATAAAGGTTACGCTTTCAAATCTTATCATCTCATGTCAGTCATGATCTGTCAAACTGCAGATCAAATTTAAGAGCTAGCCTACCGAAGAAACAGGTAGTTCGAATTGTCTCTGTACTTCTTTTCCATATAAGAATGGAATTGTTTGGTGATTTATGTTGTACATATAAATAATATAGCATAATCTAGATCTATTTCTTTATTAATATTCTATATATAGTTAAATTGGCATAATTTAAGTATATTTCTCAAAAAGCAGTAAAATAAAAACAAGTAGTTCAAGTAGATTGAAAAAAACATTTCTCAGGAAGTGGTATTGGATTGGCTATTTATTTATAGTCCTAGGATGGAGAACAACATGATTTGTACTCTGGCAATGACATGGCACTCAGAAGTAAGCTGGCTGAAAAGAACATGGAGAAGAACAATGGAACAAGAAAGATTCCAGCTGGGTTGGATTAGCTGGGCATCAGCAGGGGCATTAGCCAAAGACAGAGGCAGGTGAAGGCTGTGGTAATGGGGCCTTGTGTACCTGTAGGCATGAAGGGTATAGTATATACATGTACTTGTATTTTACAGTTTTAACTTGAATTTTCTCTGCAGTAAGTCTTTCACATCTATTGAAACTGAATGCTTTGATTGGGTTTCAAGTTGAAGTAAAACTATAACGTAATCGTATTGATTTTTCTACTCAGTTTTTATTTACTGTAGGACCAGATCATCAAAATACATGTACTGTGCTTATATTTTGTGGCCAAATCATGGTGAGCACACAATTTCTTGATACAGTCACACTGAAGATGTTGACAAAAATTTGGCCAAAAATTGAAAACTTCGTATATTATCAATTTTGCATAGAAACTAATGTAAAATTGCCGATTCAGGAAGTAATCACTTTTTGGTCAAAATTTTGTCGTATTTATCATAATGTGTGACCGTATAAAAATATATGGTATTTACCATGTTGCGCCGTTTGGTCTTTTGGTCGCAAAATGAGAAATTATATAAAGTAGGTAAAAATAGCACTTTTGGATAGATTAATAGCTGTATGGATTCTTTGTTGTTTACTGTAGGACCAGATCATCAAAATACATGTAATATTGTCATGAGAACTGTCCTGGCAATGTTGGAATGAAATTTACAGGTAGAAGTGTTATTGCGTGTGTTTCTGCATGTGGCTATGGGGGGAGGCTTTTAATGTACCAGGTATTGAAGACTCTCTACACAGTGAGAGACCTACAGTGTATTTGATTATGATTTTAATAGAGTAAATAGAGGATATTCAATGTTTTGGAGTTGATTATGGAATTTATTTCACGAGTGGGACAGGATTTTTTTTAAATTTTCACGAGTGCGAAGCACGAGTGAAAATATAAAGCAAACCACTTAGCCTGAGTATGGAATCTGGATATAAATTTTTCAATTTTGACTTTGTACGGATTAAATCCATTCACAAGTATTGTGATGAAAAGATTTTCTAAATATTATTTTTAATGTATAAATTAAATACTGTTTATATAAAGTACAGAGTTTTGCACCATTTGTCAGATTATTATTATCAGTGATTTCATGACATGTGCAAATCAAATCATTTCACTTATAGACAATAGCTTGATTCTTATGTTACATTGATTCTCTGTTGTTTTGGAACTGAACTACCAGTTCCCCACCACCTTCGGTATCTGATCAAGGGAAACTACTCATGAGAGGGGGTATTAAAACATTGTTAATCCTATAATGCCTTGATGTGTTAATCTTTTCAAATTCATTTATGACCATCAGTCATCTTAGTCATCGGCCTCTTTACATGATCTCAGGCCATCGGCCAACACATAATGGGAATTAACACATGGTTAATCTTATAAGTAAGTCTTTGACGTGTATTAATCTGCCCTAAAATAATTTGTACTTGTGACCATCGGTCACCTTGGCCATTGGCCTCTGTATATCTCAGGCCATAGGCCTACTCTTAAGTTTTTAAAGCCACCAGCATCACTCAAACCATAGGTCAACAAAGGCCACCGGCCCTCATCTACAAGGCCATCAGCCTTTGATTTTAGAGCTAACAGGCAAGCTTGGTTATTTTTCCTTTACAGTTTTGTTTTAATGATTGCCTTATGTATAGCACACTTTCACTGAACTAGTTTAAACATGCACGCCCTCTGTGTTCATGTTCTGTGTATACCATATGTTATGATATATCATGCCGAGTAGTTCCCAGAAGCAAAATTCAAAATCTGATACTGATTCCTTGTCTTTGTTTTATGTAAAACACTCTTCAATGCCTTTTTAAACAATTCATTAATCATCAGTCATCATGAGAAATCAAAATTATTCTATAATTATTGAAAGAATTATGTGCACATTTATTTTTTTAGGAGCTACAAAGAGTTTTGGTTTTTAGAAGACTTAGTATAAATGTTCTAAAGAAAGAAAACAGTGTGGCAAAGAAAGGAAAGGATTATTCACTCAAAGAAATATGGATGACAAGGTAAAATGGACATTCTGTTCTACAGAATTTAAAGAATTGATTTATTTATTACAGATAATGGCAGATTTACCCAGGGAGGGTGTAAAAAAAAGCTTGAGGGCAATTGCAGATATTTTACATGAATTTTTTAGATCTACTGGTCAGAGACCAGAAGAGCTTATGTGATAGTAAGGTGTCCGTCGTCCGTCCGTCTGTCCGTCTGTCTGTAAACTTTTCACATTTTCGACTTCTTCTCAAGAACCGTTGGGCCAATTTTAACCAAACTTGCCACAAAGTATCCTTGGGTGAAGGGGATTCAGGTTTTTGTTCAAATGAAGGGCCACACCCTCATTCAAGGGGAAGTAATTGGGAATTAATGAAAATTTGGTAGCATATTTAAAAAATCTTCTTCTCAAGCACCACTGTGCCAATCTTCTTCTCATGCACCACTGTGCCAGGAAAGATGAAACTTATGGGGAAACATCCTCAGGTAGTGTAGATTCAAGTTTGTTCAAATCATGACCCCCGGGGGTAGGGCGGGGCCAAAATGGCCGACAAAAGTTTTACATGGAAATATATAGGAAAATTCTTTTAAAATCTTCTTCTCAAGAATGACAAAGCCATAATTCATCATATTTATATGGAAGCATGCTCAGGTAGTGTAGATTCAAGTTTGTTTAAATCATGACCCCCGGGGGTAGGGCGTGGCCAAAATGGCCAACCAAAGTTTTACATAGAAATATATAGGAAAATTCTTTAAAAATCTTCTTCTCAAGAATGACAAAGCCATAATTCATCATATTATATGGAATCATGCTCAAGTAGTGTAGATTCAATTTTTTTCAAATCATGACCCTCAGGGGTAGGGCGGGGCCAAAATGGCCGACCAAAGTTTTTAAAGATATATATATATTCTTTAAAAATCATTTTCTAAAAAATAGCAAATCCATGATTGGTCATGGAACTACTTTTTTTTATTTAAACTTTACAATAAAAAGCCATTTTCTACTTTTTCCTACCCTTAGTGCTCAGGTGAGCGATGTGGCCCATGGGCTTCTTGTTACATTTTAATCTCTCCCCCCATAATTCAACAAAATCAAAAGGCAAGATTGAAGGGGTAGGATTAAGGCTAAGGGGAGATAATTCAGGAAAGAAAAAAAAGGTTTTATTGAGTCATTTGAAAATCTTCCTATTTTATTCATCTCATTCTTTTAAAACTGAATTTAACAAATTAAATTATAGGAAAAATCAGGTCAAAAAATGTTGATGAAATTAAATAGGTCCCATCAATATGTATCAGCATATAAGGTTTGACAAAAGTATTATTAATAGCTCTTGAAACTGGGCTAAACACAAATTCAAGAAATTAAGGTCAATGTCAAAAGAAAGGTCAATGTCCAAAAAAGTGGATGCAGTTGAGAGGTTCTCTCATTATTATGTGTCAGCATATGAAGTTTCTTTAAAAATATTTTGAATACTTTCTTTGAAACTGAGATAAATGCAAATTATGATGAAGGGACAGAAATGCATGTTATAGGAGCTCATGTTAAGGTGAGCATTGTGGTCCATGGGCCTCTTGTTATGTGTTATTTTCATTGATCAACAATCAGGTGATATACATGTAATGATATTGTTACATTTCAGTACCTCCAGTAAATGATGTCATATCCAGCTTTGAAAATGTTTTGTTTGAAAGAAAAGGACCTGAAGAAGGAGAAAGATCTATTTTATAGATTTAGATGGATTGATAAACTGTCAAAGCTATTGCTATCACTAAATTTTGTACAATACTTGTAATTCTTTATCACTGAGTCTTTGAGCCTTCTGACATGATAGTGTATCTAATCTGAGAAAGCAGTGTCCATGATATCAATCTTGAAACATTTCAAAATAACCTAATATCAAAACATAATATGTACAGATTTAATAGCAGATGAAAACTCTACACAAACTGGATACTGATGTTACTGAAATTTAGAGATGTCATACTTGCTGTGGATTGATTTAAGAAAAAAATTAATGTCTGAAATGATGTAATAAACTAATTACTCCAGTCTTGTTTTTTGCTTTATTTTTAGGAAATATGTAACGGTATTTAGATGTAATTTGCATAGGTGTTTTTAACCCCCATAATTAGAGATTTGGGGGCTTGTGGTTTTTGCTCTGTCTGTCTGTCTGTTTGCAAAAACCTTATCCTTTTTTAGCTCACCGAAGGCTTTTCTGATCACATTTTGTAAGTAGTCCGTCCGTCCGTCTTTAAACTTTACACATTTTCAACTTCTTCTCAAGAACCACTAGGCCAATTTTCACCAAAGTTGGTACAAAGCATCCTTATGTGCTGGGGAAATTAAATTGTAAAAATAAAGGGCCAAGTCCCCTTCCAAGGGGAGATAATCAAGAAAAGACAAATTTGGTCGGGGTCATAAAAAAAATCTCAAGAACCACTGGGCCAGGAAGGATGAAACTTATGTGGAAGCATCCTGGGGTAGTGTAGATTCTGAATTGTTCAAATCATGACCCCTGGGGGTAGGCTGGGGCCAAAATAGGAAATCCAAGTTTTACATAGACTGAAATATATAGGAAAAATCTTCCCAAGAACCAGTGGGTCGGGAAAGCTGAAACTTACGTGGAAGCATCCTTGTGTAGTGTAGATTCTAAATTATTAAAATCAAGATGGGAGTAGACCGTGGTGGTGGTGGTTTGGGGCCACAATAGATATAAGAAAAGGGGAAATCTGGAAAGAACTGCATCACCAAAGTAACTCAGGTAAGCGATGTGGCCCATGGGCCTCTTTTCATAACTTTTGAATTGTAAGCTAATACGATTTATCATTGAGTCAAATGCTGACTGATGTTTATCATACTAATTGTTAGTCCAATATTTATACACTGAATTGATGACGGATTTTTCTGCCATTTCCCGATCATGACAAGGAGCACACAGCTTGTGTGACTGTTTGGCAGGGGATGTTCACTCCTCCATGGCAACTGATCCCACCTCTGATGATTTGGAGGTCCGTGTTTGCTCTGCTCCTACCGTATACGTGGAAATTTTAGCAAGAATTTTATTTTGGCATGATTAGCGAAGGCACTGATATCGCTAAAAATTAATTTTGGTTTCATTTGTAATAGCTTCTTTGGTTGCATTTTTAAAATGGCTAAAATTACTGCTCGCTAACATCAAATTTGCATCTCGCTAAAATTTCCACTTATACTGTATTTTGTATTGTTTTATGGACTTTGAAATGGAATACTGTTCGTTATCTCCATATCTTTTATTACTTTTTGTCATTCAAATCCAAGAAAACGCTCAAAAAACCCATCCAGTTTATCATCCATTTCCTTATAAATTTAGTACATTCTTTCCCTCTTGGGTGGAATTGTTTTTGTCTTCTTTTTTAAGAAAATGAGTAAATATTACAATATATGATGTATTTATTGTCACCAAATGGGTAGCTCAATAAATCGTCATTTAATATCTGAGTAACTTGATAGCTTCAAATACTTAAAATAAATTACTTCTTTCAGGAAAATGGTAGAGAAAAATTCAAACAAAAATTGTGTCAATTGCTTTGCTTTTGGAAATGCAAATTTAAGGTATTTTATGTACATGTTAAACAAGGGATTTTTGAAAAATTTTGAATGATTTTAAACTAGTTCAAAATACATTAAGAATAAATGTGAAATGAACCAATTGACAAAACCTAAAACATATGATATTAGAAGCTGTTCTTTTTTCTCCTTTAGAGATTTGGAAGAATTTTCTAACCTTGATTTAAAAAAATGTTTTTAATTTGTCAAAATATATGTGGTATATGTTTCATTTCATTTCATAGTAAAATAAAGAGTGAGTTTATGCATATTTTCACCAAGAGATTTGTTTCGGATTCAGATTATAATTTACAATATCTTAAACAAAAACATGTGCTGCCCATATACTTCAATGTTGAATTCAAGATGCAATTAATTGGACAATAATTCCTGCAATGAAGCATTTTTATTTAATAATACCTTCAAATTGCTACCATGATACAATATTGGACCATTCATTACTTTGGTACAAAATATGGTCGTTATACATTGAATATTTTTATATATGCAATCAATGTAAATGCCAAAATTCAAGTTTGTTAACTCATGCAGATCCCAGTTCATTAAATGCATCACTACAAATCCAATGTCAGATGTTGTCAAAGGGCACTTTCATGTACATATTGTTCAAGTAACAACACTTGCACTCTTCCGTTTAGAATTCTCTGAAATTTGCCAAGATTGTTCTTTCTTCAAAATTATTCATATTGCAAATTTTTGGTCCAGGTCTGCATACTCTTTCATCAAGAATTCTCTGAAATTTATCAAGGCTGTGTTTTCCTTACTTATCTTCACCTTGTATTTTGTTGGTCCATAGATCTGAATTTATGATATTAGCTAAAAGTCTACCACAGATAAGTTGAAACTCTCGACATCAAATTGATGGTTCCCAAACCCTGAAAAAAAAAGTTCAAAAACACAGAATTCTCATAATACATTTTTGTAATAAATAATGCATACCTGGGTAATCAAACAGAACCTCGGTTTGATTGGGGATTATTTTCCTGCAGTTTGTAATGATAACTACCATGAAAAGGAAGCCTCCGATTACTGATACTAATGGCTAAACCAGAAGTCTCTGATGAGACTGTAGCTCTGATGAGACTGTAGCTCTGATTTGTATTTGTAACAAAGGAAGAGATAAAGTGCCACGCCACAGCATGATACGCCCATCAAAAAATTACAATTACAATGTATCTTAAACAGTTAAAAGTGCAGGAAAATCATGTCAACCTTGATTTTAAGATTTCAATGATTTTTACACACCTTAAAAAATTTGTTTATCCATCTCATGTAGTGTAGGCAATAATTTTAACAAATATTGCATCATTCATAGATTTCTATACCTTGCCAAATGCCTATCATATTAAACAATATCAAATTAGTCTTCACAACTTAATCTATACCTAATTAATTTTGGAAAATGAAAGGCTGGCCATCAAAGTTCTTCTGTCTAATTCCCGAAGGATACAGATAAAGACCATGCTCTGAAGAAATGAAAGAGAAATGCAGCTAGCCTTCCTACATTGAACACATTAATTAATCTTTAACTGGATGCTTGTCTACTCATTACTCCCAAAAGATTATTGGATCTGCACTATCTACCATAAAACATTTTTAAAACATATAAAACATCAATGATTTTTTTTTAGATTTAATGTCAGACAGTTAATTAAGATGCAATTGACATGGACATGCAGATTCCACCCCTACCCCTATAAAATCAATTTTTAAGATCGTAATATTATGTAATATCAAAAAGTTTAATATGCAATATCATATTGGTTTTAATTACTTCTCATCAAATTTATTTTAAAACTTCGGCTAGGCAACAAGAGCTATTTTTAATCCAACAGGCTTACCCATTTGGCCCAATACTCAAGGGATATAGATAGCACCGATGCTCTTACAGCTACTCCTCACACTAAACTCATTAATTTTTCTCTCTAATTTGACATGCAATTTTCTGTTATCAAAATTCTTCTTGACCAGTGCTTGATAATTAGACTCATGGGAGTGGTGGAATTTCTCTAACATACATTATATTTGTTATAGATTGCTGTCAAGTATATGCTAAAAAAATAAATATTTTCTTGATTTTGCTTGAAAAGCGGGAGGGTATATAGTAATCGTTAATTCTGTCCGTCTGTCCGTCCGTCCGTCTGTATGTCCGTCCGTCTGTTACGCTTTGGGGTACCCATTTCTTATCCGCAACTCCTCTTATACCACTGAATGAAATTTGATGAAACTTTCACAGAATCTTTATTACATATTGCCATTGTGCACCTCCTATTTTACTTTTTGATCCGACACATATTTTGGGTTTCCCATAGCAAAACATGGACACTGCCATTTATACACAAAAGGGAAGCGGGGGGTATCATTTAGTGAGCCCATTACTCACAGTACCTCTAGTTCTAATAAGGTTAGTGAAATAGTTTTACATTTTTTTGCATGTGTAAATGAATAGAAAAAAAAGACATTTTATTTTAAAATTCCACTTAAATTAAAGGTCACAGTGACCTTGAAATAGGTCGCGACACACCTTCTACCTAAAATGCATAAACTGGCCACGTTTGATGATTCTAAGTCTAATAGTTTTCTAGTTATGGACTGGACAGGATTTTTCCATATTTGGCTATAACTTTTTAAATATAGGTCAGAGCGACCTACTTTTTGTGCGCGACACACCCTCTACCCAAGATGCATCAGCTGACAATGTTTGATAACTCTAGGCCTTATAGTATTAAAGTTTTGAACCCCCTCTTTCATAAATCAAAAGGGCAAAGGGACTCAATTTTTTATGGCCATAATATTTTGAACCCCCCTCCCTATAAAATTAAAAGGGCAGGGGGACTCAATATTTTATGGCCATAATAATTTGAACCCCCTCCCTCTTAATGAAAAGGGCAAGGGGGGGGGGGGGGGGGGCTAAACCTAAAAGAGCAGGGGGACTCGCTATTTTATGGCCATAATATTTTGAACCCCCTTCCTTATAGAATTAAAAGAACAGGGGGACTCAATATTTTATGGCCATAATATTTTGAACCCCCTCCCTCTTTATGAAAAGGACAGGGGGACTCAATATTTTATGGCCATAATATTTTGAACCCTCTCCCTCTAAACCTAAAAGAGCAGGGGGACTCAATATTTTATGGCCATAATATTTTGAACCCCGGGTTCAATATTTTATTGGGGGGTTCAATATTTCGCAGCGATATTTTGAACCCGGGTTAAATTCGGAAAGATGTAGAAAGTATTCCCCTATTTTTAATTAAAATCTAGTGTGCTGTGAAGTTGCAAAATAAGGCCATCTTGAATTTGATACTAAGCATGAAATATTTGTACCAGGTACTAATTTAAGTCACCCTATGTAGCAGCTAGGCTAGCTCTACAATAAAAAGCATAGCTGCAGATGTGTAGATCTGTAGCGTTATGGGTTTTTATATTTGTCTTTGACCATAACGCTACAGATCCCGTAGTGCACATTTTCTGCACTACAGGATCTGTAGCGTTATGGTCAAAGACAAATATAAAATACCATAACGCTGCAGATCTGCAGCTATCAAAAGCATTGCTTTACATAGTGGCAGCATAGCAGCTACACTGTAGAACACCTCCCAGATTTAAAGGATCAATCAATATAAACAATAAATCGCCTTTCTTTGTTTTGTTAGAATGGGACTTTATGTTGCAGATGTTGCAGAAAAAAATGCATATCCCGCTTACATGGGTTATGCATTTTTTTCTGCTGCAACAACTGCAATGTTAATTACCATTCTAACATTCAAAGAAAGCATTTCATTGTTAAAATGATTTTTATTAAGGCCTTAGTAACCTTACCATCAAATTCTTCCTTTTGAAATGAAACATCAGGTATCTCTTGCACCACTTTCAGACAGAATTAATTGTTCAGCTGATTCATTTTCTATCTTGAATTTTCTTTCAATCAGTGGCAGATAGACATACAAAATCTAAAAATATAAATGCGTAGATGTATGTGCAAGATTATGGCATGTACAGAGGTCTGAGGAGTAGATGAGAAATGTTTGGCAAGGAAAGGCATTTTTCACCATGTTAAAGTCACAACCTTTTCATAAAAAGGTAGTGGCGGGGTCTGGGAACTTTTCAGATTAAATTCTTGCATTCACAGGACAGAATATATGTATTTCCACTTGATCAAAGAATGATTATTTATTTTTTCCACCAAAATCAGACTTAACTATACTATATACAAGGGGAGGGGTGACGGCATGACCACACTGAAGGTCTGACAGATTATATTTTCTTTATTTTTGATATCGACATGTATACCAGTGGCTGACAGAGAATTTATGTCAAGGTTCAAATGTTTATTTACTTAATCCGTCAGAACAATCAAATGAAATGATTGTCCTTTTTTAAATCAGACAGGTTGGTTTTATAATGCATGCGTCTATGTGCACACTACATGGTCGGTTTCTGATAGCTGTCTGAGGCAATTCGAAATGTTTTATCTCTAGCTCAATTTACGATAAACTCACAGCCGATTTAAGAGACGTTATATGAATGATGTAAGTCACTTACATATACATTTATGATTAGTCCGTACTCACCGCTTTTAAAAAGCCTATAGCTGGATTTTCTGTCCTTCATTTTGTTTACAATTACATTCATATTTGCAACAGCGCACATGGCCTTTTCAGGAGACGATCTCTCTCGCATCGACGCTTGATTTCCGTCACACTTGAAATAATAAAAACTTCACGCTTCAAATAATAAAAACTTCACGCTTCAAATAATAAAATCTTCACGCTTCAAATAATGTAGGAAAATCTCTCTCACTTAAACGTTTGTATCCGTCACGCTAGAAATAATAAAATCTTCACGCTTCAAATAATGTAGGCAGTCACAATCTTCTAATTATTGTGGAGAAGGGGACAGAGTTTTCGTTACTGTCACTTAAAAAGAAGTTATCTTTCCTGTTGAAAATAAAAACAAAGCCTTATATTTACATGATCATTATTGTTGCAAAGATTATATAACGAAAACTTCGGAAATAATTTTTTTTCTTTTTTAAATTTTCAATCAATACATTATTATTAAAGGGATGCATTGTTATAAAATGATGAAATAAGAATAATTATGATATTGAAAATAAAATAAAAATAAATGTGTACAAAATAATAATAAAAAAAACTTCTTTTCTTTTTTTATTATCTTGTGTGCCTTTTTTTTTTTTTTTTTTTTTTTTAACAATTATATCGTGTCCACAATGACTGGCAAGATTATTATTGTAAAGTGTGAATAATTATTATTGGAGAAGAAAATAAAATAATGTGTACAATTTAACATACAACATTATAATTATTGCAGCAAAATAATAATAATGTTGTAAAAAGCAAGATTTTTAGTTTTGGACGGGATAATTATTTTTGGTATAATTATATAGGAAAAAATAATAATAATGTGGGGGTACCCTACGGCTTTCCATAGTATATGTTTGGATTTATGTTTTAATTCACAAGCAAATGATATGCTGCCATTTAATCTTTCAAACTGAAAAAAAAAAGTTCTATACTTTTGAATGAAAATTTCAAAATCTAGAGGAGTCTTCCCAATACCTATCTATTTATGACTGAAGGTATGTAAATCACCAGAGTTGCTGTACTGCACCACTTGAATAAAAGTCATATCCACATTCTTGAATTTTTCCCTAAAGCTTATTTCAAAACATATATGATTCCAACCAGTCTTTATCTATGCAGTGATAATAAAATTTTTACAGACTTCTAAGGTATTACATAGTAATAGTCTCTTTAAACATCTTTGAACATAGTGCATATGATCTACATATCAATTCTTTCCAAAGAATATGCTATGCCACCCAATAGAGCTGATATAAAGTCTCTAGGTTATCACAAAATGTTAAAGTTATAACAACTAAATCTTACCCAGGAGAAAAATGATCCAAAAATCTATAGAAAATCTCAGAATCTTTCTTTACTTATGATGTGAATTTTGCAGGTTACAAATTATTGTCAAAGGTAGTTATCTCAATAATCTCATGCTTTTACCCTGACAAAGTGTCTTATAAAACTAAGTGTATTACTCTAACCTGTTCTGTGTAGTAAGCATGAAGTCTAATGGTTGATAGAAATATTCAAGATATTATAACATCACAGATCAGGGGACACTTACATCTTTATGAGGGTCCTATTGAGACCTATTAAATTTAAAATAGGACACACACACACACATACACAAACAAAATGTATTTACAGTTCCAGGAAAGTAATAATTACACCAAAGCTAGCTTTTAAACATCTGTGTAATTTGTTAGGGGTTGTAGAAATAAGATGAAAAATAAAAGGTTTAAATGTATACTTCTCATACATAACAACTGTCTTCAACATGAATTGGTAAAAATAAAAGTCAAATTTAGTCACTTTGAAGTCTGGGAATTATTTTTTTTGAAGATCTCATACTATCTGAGAATCACAATATCAATTCTAGGATTTGTTTAGACCTCAGTTTGTTAAATGACTGCAATTTATCTATTGTTGTGTATGACAGAATATGAAAGATATGAAGGGGAGAGTTTTTGACCTTTTTTTTTCCTTCATCATAGTTTAAAATATATATTATACAGGTCTTTATCTATGTAGTGAATATAGGATTTTTACATAAACCCCAGGTATTACATAGTTATAGGCATATAAACACCCTTGAACATTGTTCATTTGATTAACATTTCAATCCTTTCCTAAGAATTTGCACCTAATTGTTATAAAGTCTATAAGTTATCACACAATGTTTAAGTTATTGCATTACAGGACTCAAATCAGTAATCTCAGTAACTAACTTTTACCCAGGAGTAAATGATCCAAAAAAAATCTATAGAAATATCTTATTGATTCTTCATCTGTGTACTTATGATGTGAAGTTTGTAAGTTACAAATTATTGTCAAAGAAGTCATCTCAATCTTATAAACCCTAGGTATTACATAGTAATAGTCATATAAACACCCTTGAACATTGTTCATTTGATTAACATTTCAATCCTTTCCTAAGAATTTGCACCTATTTTTTATAAAGTCTTTAAGTTATTACACAATGTTTAAGTTATTGCATTACATCACTCAAATCAGTAATCTCAGTAACTAACTTTTATCCAGGAGTAAATGATCCAAAAAAAAATCTATAGAAATATCTTATTGATTCTTCATCTGTGTACTTATGATGTGAAGTTTGTAAGTTACAAATTATTGTCAAAGAAGTCTTCTCAATAATCTTATGCTTTGACCTTGACAAAGTGTCCTTAACAACAAAGTGTATTCCATTCTATATGTAACTAGTATGATGTATATGGTATGATAAAGATATTCAAGATATTATTAAACCACAGATTATGAGACACTTGCATCTTTATTGGGGGTCTTATTGAGACCAATTTTAAATTCAAAATTAACACACACACACATACACAAACAAAATATATTTACAATTCCAGGAAAGTTAAATAATAACATTAAATCCAGCATCTGGATATCTGTGTAATTTCTAGGGGGTTGTAAAAATTAGATGAAAAATAAAAGGTTTAAATGTGTATAATTCCCATACATAACAACAGTCTTCAATATGAATTGGTAAAAATAAAAGTCACATTCAGATACTTTGAGGTCTGTGAGAATTAGTTTTTAAAGAGCTCATGCTATCAGAAAATCATATTTTCAATACTTGATTTGACTAGATCTCAGTTTAATAAATGATTACACTTTATCCATAGTCAGTGTCTGACAGTGAAAGATACAATCCTGGCTCCTTTCTTTGTCATCCTGTAAACCACAGTCTATGATCGTACTGGTTAAATTAGTTGGAAATCATATTTATCTATGTTCTTCTTAAATCCTCCATCTTCTTAAGTTTGGTTTTCTTGTTTCAGTGTTCCAAGAGAGGATATTCTGTTAGTCTTTGCATAATCTGATAGTCTTTCACCATTCTAAGAGTAGATATAGATCATTTCCATAAGCCCTCACTAGAAAATCCTGAAAAATTAAAAAAAAAAATGTCTTAGTTGAAAAAAAAAAATTGTTATATAATATAAGCTTGATGGAATTCTAAATATAGACAAAAAGGGTATAAATACAAGTTGTAACATCAGATTTTGACTTTCCATATTAACCATGGGTAACACCTCTAGTAAAGAAAAGAGTAAAGGAATGAATAAAATTCAGTTTGGAAAGAGAATTCTTTCAGAGAAAGATGTAGACAGAGGTATACCAGTTAAAATAAAAAAAGATGGCACTATTGAGATCATTTCTCAAGAAGAATATAACCAATTATGTCCAGAAAAGGGTGATCCTAATGTTGTCAGAGATTACATAGAAAGACCCTTGATTGCAGAAGAAGCCAATGAAGAATATAACCATGATTTATCACCAAAAGAGGGTGAGAATTACTTGGATTACCCTGAAAGACCTTTGACTAGAGAAGAAGTCAAGTTTATAGATGATAAGAGAAAACAGTTGTCAGAAAAAAAAGATTGTTAAAGACACATGATTTTTAGCCCACAAAACCATTGGAGATACAAGGATTACAAGATACAAGGATTAATGGAGGAAGTCCAAACTGAACTCTTGGAAGACATTAAGGCTCATTATGAGAGTAACTTTCCAGTGTTTGTTTATTACAAAATTATGTATTCTGATGAAAAAAAAAAAAAAAAAAAGTTTTCACTTTCATTTGTTGTGCCTTTGACCATTTAAATTGACCTTATGGTCAAGATTGTGATATATACACTCTGATAATCATCTATGATGTCTCTATGATGTTTACCTCAAAAGATTAAATCAAGGTATTTGTGTTCAAAGAGCTGAAGAAACTATACAGACAGATCTAAGATTTTGGAAGCATACATATTAATGGGTTTAAAGGAGATATAACACTAGATTATTAAAAAGAAAGAACACAAACTCATAGAAATGATATTGAAAGTACCTTTTATGAATAAAGTGTCATGCTCCAAGGTATTATTTTTATAAACAGGAGAAGGTTTACAGCAGTCCCATACACTCATAAGAAGATCTTGGGTAGTAGAAACACCAGGAAATTTTATTTCCACACAATCAGATCATCTTACATCAGTTATAAGGTTACAATCTTTATACATAGTTAAGAGGTTCATTAAGATTTCTTTTCTGGTCATCCTAATGAGCCACATTATAGTATTCTTTCCCTGTGATATAATGTTAATATTAAATGAAAAAGTCAGAATTCATAAGCAATTGGAGAGAAAACTTGAAATCTTTACCAATTATGCTATTAAGGAAGCTGGGGGTTAATAAATTAGCCATATTTAACTTATTCTATAAATATGCTATCTTCAGCTGTTAACTATCATTTGGCAAAGAAAAATTTCATACATTTTAGTTTTAAAAATTTGATCATGAATTTTTATGCCTTTTCTTCTTCTTCTAAAGGATATCAATAGTAGTTTAAAAATGGCTATGACCACCAAGCCCTCTTTATTTCAAAAAAATCATATATCATTTACTTATCAATTCAAAAATATAAAAATGCATATGTAAATAAATAAATAAATAAATCTCATTGAAACTTTACCTTCAAGTTTGTGTGTTTCTATGTTGATTGACTAACTGTGTATTTCCAAAGGAAGACCAGCAGCCAGGCTTCACTTCATAGAGAATGGATTATAGATGGTTAGGAACAAAACATATCTTCCATGTTGAGGACTGTAGAAATAAAACCATTTTGTTAATATGACAGAGTACTGCATGAAACAATGCATGTTTAAATACAACATGTACAATGCCAAAAAAGATCATGAAAATATTTGTTTTTAATCTCAAAAAAAAATTGTTTTTAACATTAACTCCAGATGAGAAAAGTTCATCATGTTATCTATAGATAATAAACAAGCACAACTGCTGTATTAATATCATAAATAAAATGATTATCAGATTAATTATTTAGACACTAAAAAACTTACTATGTTTATGATATTGATTTCCATTATCAGATGTTTTTTATCCATTTTTTTTATCCATTTTAAAATATAAACATTTAAATAAAACAGAATTAAATAAATTAAAATGATATCTCATTGAAACTTTACCTTCAAGTTTGATTGTTTCTATGTTGGTTGACTAACTATGTATTTCCAAAGGAATTTGGGCAGCCAGGCTTCAACTTCATAGAGAATGGATTATAGATGGTTGGGAATAAAACATATCTTCCAGGTTGAGGACTGTAGAAAATATAATCATTTTGTTAATATGACAAGGAACTGCATGAAACATTGCATGTTTAAATACAGTGACAAAAAGTTCATGAAAATAGTCCATGTTATCTTTAGATAACAAAAGAAGCACAGTTACTGTATTAATATCACAAATACAAAATGATTATCAGTGTAATTTTTAGACACTAACAGACTTTCTCTTAACAGCATATTCAATTTTGGTTTAATACCTGTCAGTACAGCATACAAAAAGATATTAGCATATACAACATGTAGTCCTACATTTTTTGAAAAGCTCATTACCAAGAAACAAAAGTGAAAATGAAAATATATGTATGCCATATATACCACATATTTAGAATCAAAACAAGGATAAACCTTTTGTAGATTCTTACTTTTTCTTTTATTACATTCCTTATAGATCACAATTTAGTAAGTCTGAATTCCATGGGTAACAGACATAATGAATTATGACATTATATCATAATTTATGCAAAAGGACTTATTAACAATATGAAGTTTCCTTAGTATATTTTAGACAAAATAAGACTGTGCTTATATGAATGTTAGAGATATTAGATCACATAAGAATTACACAGTAATTAAATTAAACCATATAATCATGGTTAAATGCAAAGATGACCTTCATAGGAAATGTAAATAAAACAAAGACAAACTTACCAGAATTATCCAATTATATGCCCAATTAAATAATCCAGTGAAACAACATCTTAGCTGATCCTGAAAAAAAGCATACAATATTGAGTGATACACAAATTAACCTCATTTTACAAAGGAAGTAAAGCAACAATTGACAGACAAACAGGACAGAAATGTAAAAGATACCATATGTATTTTACCAAAATTTAGTAAAAATTTTTTCTGATTTAAATTCAATCACAGAATGACCCATCATAGTAATATTAAATATACTGTGGGTTACATGCAAATTATACCTTACATGAACTGAGAATAAATACCCCATTTACTTTCATATAAACTGAATTTTACATAACTAATTACTCTTTTAACTGATGTCACCATTAGTATGTCAGAATATTCAGGGTGAACAAATCATACATATTCACTTTTAAAGTACTCAATATATATTTTACATGTTGATGTTTGAAATCACTGACTAAATAAAATACATACATGTATATACATGAAGGTTTAAAAAAAAAGGGGGGCACACATGTTTATAGATTTACAGAGATGCTCAGACTGAGTTTTTCCCACTTTCATTGGGCCACTGTTGCACCAGAATGTAAAAATATGAGTGACAAATATAAAGGCAAAAGATTCTGTATATTTCATTAAAAAAGATTTGAGGCAAAAGATTCATTGGCATAATATGATCTGATTGATTATCTCCATATCCTTCTTTTGGTCACTGTGATTAAAGATTCAGAGAAATATTAGAAATAACATCTGAGAATATCACTTTAGTTGTTTTAAAAGCATGTATCAGTATTTTATAAGATATGCTAGGAGTCTCCTCATAAGAATATTTAGAATACTGATCCAATAAAAGGAATGTGAGACAATATGATCATAACTCATGCAAAAAAGATTTATCAACATTTTGAGGATCTTTTAGTGTCCTAGGGGCTGTATTTCAGGGTAAACAATGGCAGTGTTTGTATGAATGTTCTAAACATAAGGTATATAACACAGTAATAATGAATAAATACAAAGATGACCTTCATAGAAAATGTATAAAGAAAAGTTTGTTAAAACTTACCATGTAACCAGGTAACTCAGTAGAGTAATATTCATTAAATAATCCAGTGAAATAACATCTAGGCTGATCCAGGATTCAGCTGTTCAGAACTTTCTTGGAAGAAAAACGGTAGAAAATCAGTTTTGGTACTGAAATCCATAGGACCATACTGTTATTACATGAAGTCTCAAGCGCTGTGAAAGTCTGTGTTATTGTGTCAAAATAAGCAGCCATCGCGGCTTGTGAAGGACTAACATGACGTCGCTGCCAAGTTTATGACGTCACAATGCATAGGTAAGCTCGCTGACTACAATGTGTACACCAGGTCACGTGATCCTCACATCAACCTGTGTAACATCGCGCACAGTATGCTGGGTAGGGACTACTTTCACGAAATGTAAACAAAGATGGCGGGAAGCAACGTGAAAATTTACCAGTTACACGACAGATGAATTTCTAACACAAAGATGGCTGAATAACGTAAAGATTTACCAGTTACATGACAGACGAATTTTGGTACACCAGTGAGGCACATATATAGCGGAATAACGTGAGGATATACCAGTTACAGGACAGATGAATTTCGCCACATGGCCGCACCAGTGATTTACAAATACGGCGGAGTGAGGATATACCAGTTACAGGACAGATGAATTTCGCCACATGGCCGCACCAGTGATTTACAAATATGGCGGAATAACATGAGGATATACCAGTTACAGGACAGATGAATTTCGCCACACCAGTGAAGCAGGTTAAGTCCTGCATTGTGTGCAGTAAGAGTACATCAGGACATGTGCGTTTAATGAAAAATATAGCTTTAAAAAGTATTTACGTAGACATTTTATCCGTGTTAGACGTTAAATTCCCCAGCCTTGACAACATTTATATCTGTGATACATGTCTAACAATAATCACAAAAGCTAGAGAACTTCGTGAAAAATGCAAAATGAACCTAGCTAATCTGTCCTTACATCAAAATAGACAAAAGAGGGTCATTGTTCATTCTGTTTCCCCCAAAGTGAAACGAGTTACGTCATTGAATACCACTACCAGAAAATGTGGAAAGAAATTATTTACTTCTTATCCCGAGTCTGATAATGAAAATAAAGAAAATCTAAAAGAGTTCAGTGAACACAGCTATGCAGGCCAGCCCAAGTTGAATGTGGAAGAGCTGTATGTCAAACACCATCCTTTGACCTTAAAATGTCCTATTACAGATGTTACAAATAGTAATAACCCAATGAACAAGGTTATGGAAATTATTTCCTCGGGTATTACTAGTTTGCGTGACTTTGTTGACAAAGTTTTACTTATACCTGGTGTTCGTGAAGCATTTTGGTCAAAATTTGTGATGGATTTAAATCATGAAATAGACAGAATGTGTGTCACAAGTGAAAAAAGTGTTTTGAGGGAGAAAATTGTTGACATTTCGCCAGAGCTGTTTGTTGAAAATGTATGTAGAGAAATGGACCAAAGATGCCCCCGTGTGTTTGATATTCTAGTCAGTCTGTGCACACCAGTACACATCAAATCAACGCAAAAGAATCCCGCCGTTGCTGCGATGTACAGCATTGCTTTAAATGCAAGGAACAACCAAATGAATCTAATGCAAAAGTTATTGTCTGCTGCATGCATCAGATATGGTGCAGGAAATGGGGTAAGCAGATTTTTTTTTCATACAGTTTTTAACATGTTTTAGACATATTATGTTTGACTATGAGCCTCGGCTGACAATGGTTTTCTTGGGGCGAAAATTTTCAATGTTACACTTAAATACATGCAATATTTGTTATTATACTAAAAGTTTTATATAAATACATATAACAGTGAACCTTGCACACTTGATTTCTGTGCAGTAACTATATTTTGGAATATCACCCGTTGTTAATCAATGTTGACTGTTGCTACACTAGAGGGTATAACTTCATCATTCATCGGTTAATAGTGTATTTTAACAAATGTTTCTTGGCAATCAGATTCAATTAGTTTACATGAAAGTATAATATTATTAATTAATTCTAACTCATTTTCATAATGCTCATCTAGATAGCCAAGGGTGATGATACAATGTCCCTCTTTCACCATGTGTTGTGACCAGCAAATATAATTATGGGCTGGTACTTAAAAGAGCTCCCTTTTTCTTTCAGTTGTTTCACCTATTAAGCAGGATGGGCATTTCCCTTCCAGAGAGGAGCAAGATACCCATGTTGTCTGATATTGGTCTTATCAATGGGAAAGGTGTATGTGCAGCTCTGACAAATGGTAGGACTATTGAAGTAACGGTGGATAACATAGATGGCAGAATTAAAGCTAATCAGGTATTACCACATGTGATATTAACACATTGTTAACACAGCACATTTCAATTAACTTAAACTAGGAAGAAAATTAATTAAAGAATGAATTTAATAGTTATTATTTTTATACGGTATAAACTTGGTTGGGGCAGTTTACGCTTTATAAACCGCAAAGCGTTTACTGTTTAACCCAGTTCATACCATACAAAATGGGTAGCTATTTAATTCATTCCTTATAATTTAATTTTCATTCATTTGATGTAAGAAAAAAAGATGATAGTTCTCACAAAATATTGACTTCAAATTGTACAAAATTTGAATGTAACGTCAGGCGGATTGATATGTTTTTGATAGTCATTGTGATGTAGGCAACTCATTTTATAGGATACAAAATAATTTCTTTTATCCAATCAAATACATTGTTACAACCAGAAATTATTAGTTATTGATTGGACATTTCTCACTAAAAGGATTTTATTGAAGGTTCGTGTTGGCAGTGGAAATAAAGATTACCATTATACACACTGGACA